AGCTGGAAACAGCTCTCTAAATGTATATACTAATTCTATAAATATACTTTTAAGTCCTATAAAGAAGCTTGTATCATATATAAGGCCCCCAAATGTGACCCGAGTTTGAACTGTGTTAAGTTTAAAGTCAAAACCGCAGTCTGTGAGAAACGGGAACAATGGATCCCTAGAGTCAGCCATGCCTGTCATATTCTCAGAACTTCATGCTTAGATCATCAAAGTCCCTGCTAGTGGGTCATGCCAAACAACAAAGAAGGGAGGAAGGAATGGGCCTTCAGCTCCTGAACCCAACCTAGTGGTCTCAGGGTCTGCAGCCCACCTGGATCCCTAACGCTCAGGCAGGCCTCCATGGCTGGCTCCCAGCAGTGAGGTATAATTTAAGGTTAGGAATATAAATGTTTATTATTGCAGGTACCTTTGTTGATGATATATGCAACCCCCTCCCCTGGCCCCCTGGCAGTTTCCCACTACTGCAAATACTACCCCCCCTGCAGTTTCTCACTACTGTCAATCCCTTTCTTATAGTATTATGATTGTTGTTCAAGGTCTGCTTATGAGTGAGACTATGTAGTACCCAGTTCTTTGTTTCTGTAATAGATCACTCAGTATTATAGACTCTAAGTCCATCCAAGTTACTGTCAATTAATAATTTTGTCCTTCTTTATAGCTGCATAATATTCTGTTGTGTATATGTACTACATTTTTTTATCCTGTCCTTTTTTGATGGGCAGCATGGTTGGTTCCATGTTTTTGCTATTGTGAGTAGAGCTGCAATAAACATGGGTCTGCAGGTATCTTTTACATAGGGTGATTTGAGTTCCTCTGGATATATTCCAGAAGGGAGATTGCAGGGTCATATGGAAGGTTGATTTTTATATCTTTTAACTGTCACTGTTTTTCACAGAGGTTATACTAGTTTACACTACAACCAACAGTGTAGAAATGTTCCCTTTTTCCCACATCCTCTCCAGCATCTGTTGTTTTTTGAGTTATTGGTGATGACCATCCTGACTGGAGTTAGATGGTATCTCAGTGTGATTTTCATTTGCATTTCTTTGATGACTGAGCATTTTTTCATGTATTGGCTGTCTGTATGTCTTCTTTTGAAAAGTGTCTATTCATTTCTTTTGCCCACTTTGTAATGGGGCTGTTTATTTTTTTTCTTTTCAATACACTTGAGTTCTTTGTAGATCTTAGATGTTAGGCCTTTGTCAGATAAACAATTGGCAAATATATTTTTTTCCCAGTGTGTGGGCTGTCTCCCTGTTCTCTTGATGGTTTCTTTTGCTTTGCAGAAGCTTGTTAGATTGATGAGGTCCTACTTGTCTATCTTATCTCTTATGACATGGGCATGTGGGGTTTTTATCAGGAATTGGTTGCCAGTTTCAATTTCCATAAGGGTGTCTCCTGCATTTTCTAAGGTTCTTATAGTTAGTTTGAGGCTTTATGTTTAGGTCTCTGATCCATGTAGAGTTGATTTTTGTGCATGGTGATAGGTAGGGGTCTTGTTTTAATCTTCTACATGTGGTCAGCTAGTTTTCCCAGCACCATTTCCTGAATAGGTGCTTCCCTGCCCCCGCCAGGGGGTTGACGGTGTAGTCTTTGTCGAGGATGAGTTGATTGAGAAATTGAGGTTTGC